CAAATGTGTAAAATTAACGGCATGTTAATATGTTCTTATATGCAATGTGAACTGTTATTTTAAATGTTAAGAAATACCGTGATATGGTAAAAGTGAATGTTAAAATTTTTTTTATTCGTGTGTCTGTAAAAAGACTAAAGCATGGTGAATATGTGTTAAAGGTTGAATGATGTAGTTAGGCTCTCTGACGCTACACTTTAGAGTTAGCCACTTTTAGAATAGTACCTCAGGGTTTAGAGTTGAATTAGGGTGTGTTTAGAGGTCTTGTTATGTTGAATTTTAACACGTTAGTGTTTTGATTGTAGGAGGAAGTGTGGAACACGTAGACAGAAACACATTCGTGTTTGGTGTTCTTTTACAACACATGTCAGAGAGCATGGGGAGAGATAATTAAAATAGTCATGAATGAAATAAGAATGTTAAGTGAAATATAATTATACATGTTACTTGCCATTTCATTGTGTAACATTTCATTAAACTAGTTTTCCTTCCAGATCTCTGGAAGGAACCAGATTTGAATAAGAGCTCCTGTTTGGATGCAGTATAGATGAAAAAAAAATTGTGTATCCGGGGAGCTGCTATTGTAAAAACAAATTTCTTTCTTTTAAATTTCTAGTTTCTAGCAAAAAATATTTGTAAAAGATTGGCCTCGCGTTAGATTCTAGAACTAAAAGTTTTCAACAAGGTCGTTTTAGACCTCAGTTTCAAACTAATTAACACTGGCGGGAAGTATGTAAGGATCTTAAGTTTTACTAACGTTTATTTTATTTTAAATCTTTACTATCACTTCTTATTTTCTACTTCCGGCCAGAATTATAAGCGTTAAGGTTTTTATGCAAAGTTTGTCTGGCGAACGCCAAGTATTTAAGTTGTGGCTTTTTGCCAAGCGAGAGAGAGGAAGCAGTGAGTCGAAGCAGGCCGCTTACCTTAGAAGTTACGCAGTTGCTTGTTGCCTTCAGGCCAGGTTTTAATCCAGAGGTTTTTATTCTTGATAAATTTTAAACGTATTGTAGTGTTCACAGTTCTCTGTACTACATACGCTTCCTGTTAATATAAGGCCAATCTTCAACGTTTATTATTCTAAAGTTAAATTAGAGTTTAGTTTTATTTTTATACTTTTACGTTTTGACCCCAAGTAGCGGGTCGGTGTATTCTGAAGTACGGAAGTCATTGTAAATAGAGAAAAATAAAGGGTTTTGTATACCCTTCTTGTGTATCCTGTTTACTTCCCACAGTTTTGAACATAGCTTTAGAAAGCTCTCTGTTCCGAGTCAGGTCCTTGCATGTTCCCGAAGAAGGTTAGAAGGGACATAGACCCTGATAATATGAACAGTTATAATTTTACACGGATAAGACCAAATCCTGCCAAATAATCGTCTAGATTGGCAAGATTTTGCCAAACTTGGCAACAAAAAATTAGCCACCAAAACAATTGCCGGCTTGGTGCTATATTGCCAATTTGGCGAGATAACCATTTACCTCAACGTTAAATGGACTTTGCCCCTGTAATCTTACTTTTCTGACAGAGCTTTCCTTTTTTTAAGGCATTTCATGTTACATCATACAAGAGTTATTACAATTTTATACATAATTTCACTCAAATTATTTACATATATACAAAATTTGCAACAATATATACGTATGGGGGTACATGAATATTGTATTGATTTAAAATTATGGCAAAATCTTTTTAAGATGATGAAGCAATGGATACAGATGATTTTGATTTTCTGTGGAAACCATTACCTTATAAAACATAATTACTGCCAATATACAGTACCAATAATTAAGTTCTACTGATATTAAATATTACCAATAATTATGTTTCAAATTCAGTTTAATTATACTTTCAGCAGAGGCAATCATCTTTAGGTAGCTGATTGCTGTGATAGATTTTACAGTAATCCCATTTTATGGAGTTTGATATTTATTTATTTAATTAATATATTGCATATTATACAGCAAATTCACTACAGTCAGTTTTCAAATCTTAAATTTTTGGCGTTATTTCCCCTATTAACATAATACCAATATACCCTTTATATATAGGGTGTTTATAAACGAATGGTGCAGTTTTAAAAATTAATAATAAATTAATGTATTACTTTATATGGGTAAACCTTATAGCATAAGCAGTGGCAACTGTTCAAGTTTGTAATGTACTAATCACAGTTCTTCAATACTTTGTGCCCCTCGTGGTCACATGACACATATCTACATAGCAATCAAATTCTTCCTATACTCAGTGTAGCGTGTCTGCCATAATTGTTTGCAGTGCATGTTTTATCCATCACAAAATTCTTGAAAGGACATGGGCATAAACTTGTATCATCAATGCCCATGTCCATGAGTTAGTCTTTAAAAAACTCCCAAAAAGCGATATTGCATAGTGTTAAATCTGGCAAACAGGATGGGTAGGGAGTAGATTTGTCAGCTGTTGCAGCATGTCCAATGCAGCATTAATGAAAAACACGATTAAGAAGCTCTGATACATTCCTATGAAAACGGGGATGGAGCACTATCCAGTTACAAAATGTAACCATCATAATTGGTGTTCAGCTGGGGTAACCATCAGGTTTCAAACATGTCTAGAAATGAGTCAATGGTCACAGTTTTTTGTTCCAAGAAATATGGGCTGTGCACTTTCTTGCGGGATACCGTACAGAAAACGTTCACTTCAAGAGATTCATGCTGATGTTCTACCTGTTTATGTGGTTTCTCGCTTCCCCTGATACGGACAATTGTGATTTTCACCTTGCCATTTACATGGAAAGCAGCTTCATTGCAGATAAGTCTTTCTACAAAACCATCTTCCCCCATTTTTAAATGCATCTCTTCGCAAGTCACACCTTTTCACTTTGTCTGCTGGTGCAAGGGTCTGCATTAATTGCACTTTGTACTATTTAAAACACAGCCACTTATGCAGCACCTCCCACACCATATTCTTTGGCATGTCCCATTTCCTGCTTGCTTTACTTAGTGACTTGTAAGGACTTCACTGAAACACCATGCACACTCTTTCAATCTTTGTAACAGACACACAAGGTCAATCAGAAGTCTTGCTTTTACAAAGGCATCCAGTTTTCGCCAACTGTCGGTATAACCTGCTTATGTTATTCTTATATGATTGGTATTTCCTAAACTTCATAACAAAGTCACACTACACTGTAACCACAGATCCGACACTTCAAAATGGAGCACACAGAAAGCCTTTCCCTGTTGTGATGCCATCTTGGAAACTGATGCTGCTGCTGCAAAGCATGACAAGCAAACAGGTAGCACATGAGAAATTTGGATAATTATCAATGCTTACAGTGTATGTTTCACCAGAGGTAAAGTAATGCATCACTTTATTATTAATTTTTAAAACCACACCATTCATTTATAAACATCCTGTATATCAACAATGCATACTTAAAATATTTATTTCACTGGTCGTCTATTTACCTTCCACGGTCGTATATTACCTTTATTTTATTACGGATTTTACATGCTTTTTTTTAAGATAAAATCAGCAATTACAGTCAAAAGTCGTTAATCCGGACTCGTCGGGACTTCGGCGATTCCGGATTATCGATTTTTCCGGATTATAGATCATCAGTTTAAATCGCGTAAGATGGCATGCAGAAATTCTAAAATTAAAAATATGAAACCGTAATTTATGAAATAAAGAACAATTATGATCCAAAGAGTATCAAAATTTACAGAAAAAAAAAAAAAAAAAAAAAAGCTTAATATTTATTTGTTTACTTTATTAAACATTTCTTTCAATGTAAGTTGTTTAAGTTGTTTTATGTGATAATACTTTCTCTTTAATTCTATAAACAGACATAATTTTTTTCAGTTACAAAGTTCCGCTGTTCAAGTCCCGTTAATTGCTGTGCCGAGAATACCGACTAACTGGTCAATCGAAATTTTTTCGTTTTCACTAACCTCTCTGTCACATTTCTTTATGTCTTTATCCATTTTTTTGCAGCAATTTCACTTTTTGTTTGTTGGACATTGAAACATACTTTCGTTTTGTAGATCCTTTGGAAGTTCCAGCATCGGAAATTCTATTTGACATAATCGAAAGTTCAAGTTTACTTTTATAAATTGCTCTTACAGTCTGCAAAAAAAATAAGCGGGATCCTATTCGAAGATTAAGTAACAACGCAATCATCAACATTAACTGAAATAGATAATTAGATAATTTTAGCTTACACCGTCCGTTATACAAAAAACGGGCACGTGAAAACGTATTCTGCGTTTGCGCACACGCAAATGCACAGTCGTAAGAGATCTTACGCGCACGCGTAAACGCCTATGCGCATGTGTCAACGCGGAGCATGCGCAGAAAGTTTTTAGCTTTGAGGTCCGGATTATAGATCATTCCGGATTTATGGGTGTCCGAATTAACGACTTTTGACTGTATATCATCATGCTGTAGTTTTCTAGCAGTATTATTTTCTATCAACATAAGTGCAAAGGAATTCAATTTTCAAGACTTAAACATGGCTTGAAATGCATTTAAGTCCTTAGAAAAGATTTAAACATGGGCAGAATTATCTTCTCTAGATCCAGAAAAAATAAAAGAAATGTACTGACTGAAAGGCTGCAAATATTCACAGATACAATATGCATTTTTTTAAAAACAATTTACCACAAAACATATAAACCTTTATAGGTATGTGAAATGTATAGAATCTTAACCTTTAATGCTTTCCTGCTGTCATTAAATATTTATTATACATATATATATTATATTATGCATATAAACATATATTATACCTATATGTTATACAATAAATACATATAAACATATTTAAAATAAAACATACAGTAAAACAAAACATTCAATATTTTGGGAGTGCATATATTTTTCAATACAGATAAGATACGGCGGGTTTTCCAGAAGACATGATGTTCTACAAATGTTATAGTTGAATTAGAGACTATTTTGTTCATGCATGCACATATCATAAATGTTCCTTAATAAAGTAGAAATTAAAAACACTTACCTCTTTGGTGATACTGTTATTGTGCTGGGTACTTTTGCTGCAGCAATAGAAAGCATTATGGTTTCTGTTGAGCCAGGGACTTTTACTTCTTCAGAAAATACTTTATAATCAAATTTATTTCCATTTGGTAATGTTCTAAGCAAAGTGACATGTCTGATTACATGAGCATACTATCAATAAATGCACGTACGTGCTACATAGTATACCATACACAAGAAGTAACATAACATTTCAATCATTTTTATAACTATTTTTAACTATTTATATTATTGAATGCTTTGAAAACAAGCCTACTTTAAGAAATATAAATTACACATATAAATTGAGAGGAAAAAATCAACATATTAATTGAAGTATTACAAATACACTACTGGTCATTAAAATTGCTATAGCAGGAAGGATGCATACAAACAATCCAAAACAGCATCATTCGAGCACATGTGAAAGATCAGCAGCACAAAACACATACATTTCTTTCTTAAAGTACTGGCATTGCTTACGATACAAAATCCTTTATTATCCTTATTTAAAATTAATTATAGTTTATAAAAAAATACTGCAGCCACATTAGTAGTTTTTTAACTTTGATTGCATGAGAACAATAGAATGATTATGAATTAAAAGGCAGTGATGCACAGGACAGAATGTTCCCTTTTGATGTGGTTGATAAAAGTGCGAAGGATTCTAGTTTAACAAATTCACCACTGCAAAGTATTCTAGTAGTCCACACATAGCACCAACTATGACAACACGTATCTTATGAACACGGTTTTCAAGGACTACATTTCATCATCCTAAATCCTATATTATTGGACTTCAGAATGTCTATGAGAATGAAAATTCCCATACAACTCCAATAGGAGTTTCACAAAAAACAAAACAACAACAGCAACCAAAAACATGAGAAATTTTTAATACCACAAAGGCTGCAAAAGTAAACATCCAAAATAATTAATTAAATAATTCCCCCCTTATCATTACTGTTACCTGACATAACATGTAACAGATCTGCCTGAGAAAGGCCTTGTTAAATCACATATAAATAAAGCAAAAATACAGAATCATTCATACGTTTGTCTGCATGAGAAACAATGACTTTCTAATGTCATAAAAAAAAGAGCTATACCCGAATAATTGCAATTGCTCTACATCCAAACATTTTCCTTGCTATGTGGTCATGATAAAACAAATACTCAATACACTAAAGGAGATTTTACACGATTATATAAAAACATGCAATTGAAATTTTCAGCTTGATGTTTGGTTTGATTAAAGTTCTAATTAAATATATTTCTACCCACATTACAATGTATCAAATATTTTCTTGTTATACTACTGAGTAGTAGAGCGATACTTCAGTGAGCACTCTGCGAAGCCACTGAATAAAAAGCAAAACAAAGCACTTAGAAGGGGGGGGAGGAGAACGCAGAACAGTTCACTAAAGTTACAAAGGTAATTTATTGCACATATCTTGATAATGGTTATTATTTTAATGAAAATATAGTAAACTACTCTTAAAAAATAAAAATCTTTTTCTCATAAATTCAAATTGGAAATTAATACAATTAGGTAAGAAAGCTTTCAGAGGCAAAACTTCATTCTCAAAACTGTTCACACATACAACAGTTTCAGAAATACAGATATTTCTCAATGAAACTTAAAAATATACATGTAACAGTTCAAAACGAATACTAATGACAATTTAAAAACCAATGAAATGAATATATTATAATTCTTTTACATACTTACATAACTAAAGGGCTGTGTTCATTACTTGTAGCTGATTCTTGTCTTAATATAAGAGTCAAATCTTCACTCTGCAAAATTTAATAAAATAAATAAATATACAAATAAAATAAAATTTGGAAATATAGAATAATGTTGTTTTATGACTTCCAATAAGATTAAAATTATGAGCATTTATTATGTTAAACAGAATCTTTATATTCTGAATCGATTTATCACAAGATCTTTATTTTTCTAAATCACTTGACATATAGTGTCAAGTGCCATGCCACTCATTAAAAAAGAGGGAACGAAAGAAAATTTTCTTTATCTGGCATAATATCAATGCTTTCTATCGGCAGTAAAACCTAATGATAAATTTTCATTAAAAAACTTCTCAGTTAACCTATTTATTTAGTTAAAAAGTTGTGTTTAAGATTTTTTTTCTCTCAAAGCTTGAACTTTTTCAGCTTGAACTTTGCTCTTGGACTCACTCCTGTTGATACAAATTTGTCATTTTAACTATTAAGTATAATTTTCTTCACACTTACAGCACATAAAATTGAAAAGTAAAGTAAAATAAAATAAAATTAAAAACAGCATATCTTTACAATTCCCAATATTGTATTAAATGTTGACATATATTTTTTAGCTCAGACGGACTATATTCTCAAATCTCACTTTTGCATTTACTCACATTTGTTGAATGTTTCACTTTTCAAATAACAAACCATTGGTATGGACAGCTGCCTAAATTAGTTACTAAAAAAAAAAAAAAAAAAAAAAGTATATATGCTTTTAATACATTCAGCTAGTGTAATTTCATGGGCAAAGAACTGTGTTTGCTGCTTTTAAATCATTTAGTTTGTTTATCAATAATAAACAGATTCAATTAAAAATATTAAATACTTTACACTTTGCCAAATGGCAATAAACACAGAAGTTAAAATATTTTATATCTGATATTTTTAGAATTCCTGATAAAGTTTTAAATATTGCTATACATTTTTTAATATTTATTGTATTATTTCTTTAAAACACATAGCAATACATTCTTTTATTTGTGTTGCCAAACATACTTTTACATTCGATATATTATTTCATTACTAATAACACATAGAGATAATATTTTAGTGGCAACATCCTTTTATTTTTATGGCGATCTTTTAGTATTTCCTATATTATTTTTTAAAAAGAATATACGGCAATAACAATTGGGCAACATTTGAAAAGTGATATGGATAAAACGTATGGTTCGAGACCAATACCACTTCTGAAGCTAAAAATTAAGCAGCTCTTTAATCACTGAAACAATTATGTATTAAAAGTTAATTAAACAGTATGATGGTCAAATGGTATTCCTTAGGTGACATGAAGCCTGAGGCTTTCAGATGGGTTAACAAAATTCATTATCATCAATGAAATTTCTGAATGAGTATATTTTCATACACCTAAGACACCTATATCCATATAAAGATTATTTGAAATCAATAGAGAACTTTAAAAGAACTAGAGTTTTACAAAATATTACAATATGCACAAAACATGACCACTTATTTTGAATTTTTTTTTCCCATTACATTTCCATATTATTAAAAAAAATATCCTTCCTTTTATCTACTAATTCTAGCTTTGCTTGCTTCTCTTCCTCATGTTTTTACTTCATCTGGTAAGCTGCAAGCGAGAGAGTAACATTCTCTTGACACAACTCTAGATTTTATTATATACTATCTGAAATAATATTAAAGCAAAAATGATATGTCACAAAGTTAATTCCGGTGGCTGTGGCAGTTTTTCAAACTTTTTAAATTTTGAAAATTATACTTGGAAGTGTTCACATAGGACTGTTAAAACTGCACGCAATACAGCAGTTAAATTACATCAGTTTATAGAAGTTTTTTTCATAGTGTACATGAATTACAGCAGGCAGACATAAGAATAATTCTTTTTGCTATGACTAATGCAATGAAAAAAAAATTTCAGAAATTTCTTACAGAAGAACAAAACAATAATAATGGCTGCAATTAAAAATCCATTATTTAAGACTGAAAGAAAACATGGAGCACATAACTCAAATGTTAGTTAATATCTATTACATAAAATTTTATATTCTTTAAAACCACCAAATAAAAATCTTTAAATATTTTAAATCTTTTAAAACTTCTAATGCTCTCAAATATAATATCCAAAATTTTAACACTGATTACTTTTTATATACAGTAACAAAATTAAACAAACATATCACATATTAAATAAATGGAATTTTTTTCAGAATTTTTTTGACTTTCTGAAAATACATTGTAGGTATTGAATTCTGCCTCTATATTTAAACCAATTATACTCAAAACATAAGAATTTCCTAAAGACAGCATTTTTTCAACCTAAATTATTCTTTACTAAACTACTATTTTATTAGCTTAATCAATGATATAATAGCCCTTTACTTGAACTTTTAAAATTTTATTAATTATTAAACTATTATTTGCTATTTACAATAATTTACTAAACTATTATTTGCCATTTACAATAATTTTATGTAAGTAAATATTTAGACAATTTTCCCGAAAAACGTCTTAAGCAATACAATATTCTGGAAGTGAGAACTACATTCTTATAAAATATTTCTTCAGATTAAAAATTTTACAAAAAAAGAGATACACAGAGTATATTACATGTAGCCACAAGGTAAAAAAAACAACAACTTACAAGCGGATTCACAATTTCAATTTGTTGAATTAGAAGGGATGGTACAATACGATAAGCATAAAACTGATGGATTACACTGACTGGTTTCCGCCTCTTTAAAAAAAGGAAGAAAATATATTACAAAAATATCATACTCAAATGCCAAAATGACGTCATAAGGCAATCTAAAATAAAAACTATATATTTCAAAACGTTATATAATTTATTTATAACTGTGACAAATGAATAGGGAGTCTGAATTAAACTTAATTTTTATAAACCTTCAAATTACAGTAGTTTTACATTTCTTTGATTTTGATTCTTTGATAGATCAAGCAAACATAAAAAAATGAATGTAAAGGTTAAGTTTTCATGAAAGTTAAACATAATCCATAATCAAGATAGAATTTTTTTAACATATCTTAGTCGCCTTCAATGCAATTCTCCCCTTTTTTTTAAACTTTTTGCATACATTGAATACAAAATTAAAATATTTAATTCAAAGATAAATAATAAACTCCTCATTAAAAATACTTAAAATATGATATGAATATTCACCATAACTCAGTACATTGAAACTTTGATACATTATTTTAAAAGGGGGCAGCAGGGTGGGATGACTAAACTGAGAAACTGCTGAACATTGTAAAGAAGTAACATATAAATTCATAAACATTTAAACATTTAGAATACGTAAATTGTGGTAATTCAAAATTAGGTCCATATGTGATTTAAGTTTTTCCCTCTCAAAGTTCATCTATGCATTTAATTTATTTGCAGAGACTACAGCAGATATAAAACAGGAAGGAATTGCTCATGCAGGAAACAAACAATTTAGCAATATTATCAATGGATTCTAAAATTAATTTCTTCAAGAGACAGCTAGCTTAATTATCTTAAAAACTGTCTAATAAATAAGAAAATATAAAAATTATTGGTATTTATGTACCAGCCAGTATCTACTGATACATTGTCAGAAACATACTTTTGAATTCAGCAGATTGATGAATCACGATTTTTTTATTTCCAATGAGCAACAATGTTTAACAATTTCATAAAAAATAACATTCTATTAAAAAACTATCTCCATCTTTTCTAGTTTTTTTCATCCCTCCAAAAAGTGAACACTAACAAGAAAAAAGGGGATATCTTCTTTCTAGAAGAATCCAAAACTTCTACACTTGCTCAATGCATATAAGAATCATAGATGACATTTTTAGTGATATACTGGCAGGGAGTGGCAATGCAAGAGTATCAAGTTATTTAATATAATAATGCAATATGCTAACATAATGCAATGTGATAATTTTGCAATATAACAAAATAGGTTATTTCTATATCTAATTTTTTTAAAAATTAATAACAAATTGGATATTTACCATATTAAAACACTGAAATTTATAAGCAATTCCATTGGTAAACTGAGTTGCTGATCCCTCTGAAGAATAAAATTACATGTTAAATGGCAGGCATTTAGCTCTAACAATATCAAGCAAGAAATTCATTTTGACAGGAAGGAAAAAAAAAAGTAAATAACAACACATAAGCTTTAAAATTTCTTGATGCTAAATTCTTAGATAAAAAACAGCGACATTCATGCTTATTTTCATTCTTAAAACTGGCTGTATACACAAAACTTTATTATCAGTGTTTTCATGGAATGAATTTCATCTTTAACTTTTTAGAAAAAGAATAAAAACTGTAACATAAAATGGAGTGTTTATCATAGGTATCATAGGGGGAAGAGAGGAGGTAGAGAACACACATATCAAATCAGCATGTAAAATGCTAGTTTTGCTTGAAATAAGGATAGCTATGATTTGCATTAGTGTGTGACCCTATCAGATACTGATGCATATTTGGCATCTCATGCACATGCTGCCCACTGTACTATTGAATAGAGCTTAACAAATGTTGTTTCATTTCTCTCTCAAAGCAATTTGGAGTTCCTATACGATTCAAGGAGAGTTCTGTCTTTGAGCAATATATCTGTCTCATGCATTCCAGGCACGCTGTATGGCATTTAGATATGAAGAATTTGGTAGCCATATCATGCTCTCAGTATCTTCCCCAGCTAGTATGTCAGACAATTTAGATGTCCTTTGCAAATAGGCTTTGTCATCCATGAACAGAGTCTGGATTAATGGAACTACAGAAAACACAGACATGAGGAGTTCTACCATTACACATGATACCCACCTATACAACCATTCCCTGTCTACAGTTCTGGATATTCTGGAGATGGCAATGAGTTCTCCTTTTCCTCCATACTAGCTGGTGTCCAGAATTACAATTGATAGTGAAACAGAATTTATCAAAGAGCATGATCTTTGTTATTGACACTAATGAATATGTGTTCCTTACACCAACATAATCTTTTCTGACAAAGATGTGCTTCTACAGGAAAAGATGGAACAGGCTTCTGTGCATATAACCCAGCATTATTTAATTGCCAAGAAAGGTTCTCGCTGAGATGTAATGGTAGTGCTAACAAGGTCTGCAGCTATCTGGCTACTGTTAGTATTTCTGTTCCTTTTCACCACTAGGGCAATGTATTTATCCAAATGAAGTGTGGTGGCCCTCCAACAGCCCCCAATGCGCTTTCACATAGTATTTCCACATTTGGTAGCCACCTTTAATCATGAGACAATACTCTGACTTAAGACCTGCCAAATACTGTTGACGCATGAGCAATACTTTGCTCTGCCTCAAGATTTTCAAATATTCCAATCATACGTATTTGGGTGATGTCTTACAGACATACTGTAATTAATACTTGCCATAAAGAATGAAAATTTACAGTAATATTTACAGAAATCAATAATGTGTCAAATATAACTGCCTACAGTTGTGAATAAGGGAACAATGGGATTGTACTGCCTTTTATAAAGATAAGAAGTCTCATCCTAGAATATACTCCATACTTACAGTTCCTGTAGTACTTATATATTATCCCACTGACCATGAAAGTTAGCTATCATTGAACCAAGAAAACTGGAAGCGATCCTATCAATTGCTCCTGCAGAAAGTTGCACAAATCGTACCTGCAGAATTACAAAGGAATTGAAGTTTCTTTATTTAATGAACAATCAATATTCGACCCACTTTTCTTCTGCTTCAAGGCAAAAAAGTTTTTGTTGATTTATACTATTTTGTTGAGCACTGCCACTTTATCAGAAATTCTATTGAAAAAGCTGTGTACAAACTACAAACAGGTAACTGTTCCACAAGAAACATAAACAAGTACAGTCAAAAGTCGTTAATTCGGACACCCATAATCCGGAATGATCTATAATCCGGACCTCAAAGCTACAAGCTTTCTGCGCATGCGTCGCATTGACTCATGCGTGTAAGACCTTTACGGCTGCGAATATGCGTGTGCGCACGCGCATAATATGTTTACGCATGCATGTTTAATGTGCATGCGTAACGGACGGTATAAGCTAAGCTAAAATTATCTAATTCAGTTAATGTTGCAGATTGCGTTCCTTAATCTTCGAATTGGATCCGGCTTATTATTTTTTGCAGACTGTTAGAGCAATTTTATAAAAGTAAGCTTGAACTTTCGATTATATCAAATAGAATTTCCGATATATATTTACTAATATGTAATGGATCTACAAAGCAAAATTATGTTTCGAAGTCCATTAAACAAAAAGTGGAATTGCTGCAAAAAATGGATAAAGGCACATCCTTTGTTTCTTAACCATTCCGAAATCTGTTTATCAATTTCACACTGCTCTGCGAGGGGGGGAGACGCCGCGGAGCGCAATTAATTGGAAGTTGATCTGTCAGCACTATCCTCCTCTTCAGGGCAGATGTTTTTATTTTATTTGGCTTATAATTCCTTACTAAATGTAGTATTTCATCTTGATGTACTCCGTCTTTAGTATGATTTAAATCAAGTTCCTCGTCATTATAATTCGCTTCCGATAGTGAAGAAAGTGACACAGAGGTTATTGAAAACGAAAAAATTTCGATTGACAAATTAGTCGGTATTCTCGACACAGCAATTATAGGACTTAAACAGCAGAACTTTGTAATTAAACAAGAAATTATGTCTGTTTAATAGAATTAAAGAGAAAGTATTATCACATGAAACGAAGCAACTTAAACAACTTACATTGAAAAGAAATGTTTAATAAAGTAAACAAATAAATATTAAGCTTTTTCTTTCTGTAAATTTTGATAACCTTTAGATCATAATTGTTATTTATTTCATAAATACGGTTTCATATTTTTAATTTTGTAATTTCTGCATGCCATCTTACCAGATTTAAACTGATGATCTATAATCCGGAATCGCCGAAGTTAGGATTAATGACTTTTGACTGTAATTGTTCTAATTTATTACTGTTTCGTTGACCCATACTGAGCTGACAACATCGTGTTCATTAAACACACACTTTTGTTGATGGTAGGATTTCTTACCTTTAAAACTAATCAACTGTTTGCAATTCTATGCTACATACATCCCACATTTTAATCCCTTTTTCAAAATGCAGGGACAAAATACAGCATTAATAATTAATTTATATCCTTGCACATAGAAACAAAATGAAGCTTATCAAGAATCTTCTTGGTTTATACCTAAATAAAAGCATAGATGTTGTAATTGTGTTGCGATATCACAGTTATTCACAACTGCTGCTTAATTGTGCTCCTTGGTCACAATTTCATAGGGATACAATAATATTTAAATACCTTTCCTGCCGTTGCATGGCTTCCAGGAACAAACAACTACATAAATGGTTTTAGAAACTGTTATGCAGTGCAGCACTGAAAGTAAATTCTGATAATCTGAAATTGAAAAAGTAAGAAGGGGGGGGGGAACTGAAAATTATTGAAGAGAAGAAACATTAATTTTTACTCTGTTTTTTGACATTCAATTGTATCATCAAAGTCTGAGTAACGAAAATTCTGCTGAATTAGCTTGTGCCATCAATATGAATCTGTTTCAATTTTCAAATTAAAAAAAAAAAAAAAAAAAAAAAGAAGTGCTTTAAAAATAACTGCTATTTTCCTTAGTCTTTAAAATAAGTCTGATTTACTGCTGTTCCTTTTGAACCAGATGGGAAAAAACGTCATACAAGAAGAACAACATGCATCACAATTCCAGCAAAATGCAATATTATTAACAAAGCATTAAAAATTATAAACAATTACTTCTTACCCATGTTACAACGAGACAAACATTTTTACACCTAAAGCAAAACAAGCTTTGTTTATCTCAGCAATGTATAAAGTCATCAAGAAAATACTTTTAAATTATTCTTCCATTTCAGCTGCATATTAATCCTAGACTTTACAAGCCTTTTATTGAGAAAACAGACACAAATAACTAGACTTCTTATAGCTTAAGAAAAATTAAAAACATACAGGAAACAAATTTCCTGATTTAAATATAATTTAAGATGATATTTTCATTAATTCACAAACAAGTTCTGGATCAAAAATCAATAGCAGCTGAATTCAGGCAAGCTTTAAACTATATCTAGCAAACAAATTTCTGAAGAAAGATACTAGAAAAACAAAGATGATCTTTTGAAATCATATGAACAATGAGGATGCAATATGTCTAAGCTGCTTTTTTCTTTTTTAAATGTTCCCATTTTGATTTCTTTATCTTAAAGCAGTGAATAATAAGCATGAGAAGTAATTTCGTAAAGATATTTCTGATACTAAGGTAAGATATCAAGGCTACCAGAATCTTAGCATGCCAGATGACTTTTGCTTTTAAAATACGGTACAAAGTCCAAAATCCGGACTGGTCGGGACATCGGCAATTCTGAATTTTGGATTTTTCCGGATAATAGATTATCAATTTAAATCTAGTAAGATGGCATGCAGAAATTATACAATTAAAAATATGAAATCGTAATTTATGAAATAAAGAACAATTATGATCTAAAGGGTATAAAAAAAAAGCTTAATACTTATTTCTTTACTTTATAAGACATTTCTTTCAGTGCAAGTTGTTTAAGGATCTTCCACAAAAAATTCAAAAAGTTCCTTATTCTTTTTTCTTGTGTCATATACAGTGGACTTTCCAATGCCATACTCCTCACACAATTTTGAGATGGATATGAATTTATCCATATTTGCAGCAATTCCACTTTTTGTTTAATAGACATCAAAACATGGTTTCGCTTTGTAGATCCTCTGGCAACTCCAGAATTAGAAACTTTTGTTGACATAATTGAAAGTTCAAGCTTAGTTTTTATAAAATTGCTGTAATAATAACAGTCTGCAAAAAATAATAAGCTGAATCAAATTAGAAGATCAGGGAGTAGCGCAGTCAGCTACATTAATTGAAATGCCTTATAATCAGTAAAGGTAATTTTAGCCTAGCTTAATAGCATCTGTTATACATTATCAGGGTTTGTACACATTTCTGCACATGAAAATTAAGTACTTTTAAGGACTTTTAAGAACCAT